GATCCATGTATCAGTTATTACCTCCCCTCGCTTCACATCACTTCCGTTACTACGGTTGTATTATTGCGCGGTAAATTTGAACTCGTAAAAAGCAACACAATTTTACATCCAAAGTTGTTTAATTATTTTAAAATTAAATTATAAGGAATGACTCTAATTCTTGGCCATATTATCGAGTATAATCTGGTTTGGGTCAGTTTACGCTGTTTTATAATCCGCTTCGCGGATTATAAATCGTAAACTCACCCAAACCAGATTATACTCGATAATATGGCCAAGAATTAGAGTCATTCCTTAAATAATGACCTTATTAAGGACATACGCAAGGTACCTTGCCTACTGATAATTTTTCAAGATATTCTAAATTTAAACCTATAATACCATTACATGTTCTTAGACAAAAAATCAGCATGCGTTACCAGGGGTTTTGAAAAGATATCAAAGTGTGAAAATTTTAGCATTTTTCAAAGAAAAATGTACAAAAATTACAAAACATAAATTCCAGATTTTTTGTTCATCAAAAATTGTTTTAGAAGAGGTGTACAAATCCATATATAGACATTAAAAGTATTGCACACAGGTCCTTTATATAGTGGAACTCTTCAACTCCAGAGAAGAACCCAATAAAGTTCAAACTACGTTGCGTATGACCTTAACATACAAACATGTATACCCTATCACTGGGGCGTATTTTGGTTGACTTTTTTTCATACCAATTGTAATACCTTTTTGTAATAAACTTGGCTACAGAATGTTCGTATATATACGGCTCGAGGCGGACGTGACCGACCAACAGAGAATGCTTACTCCTCCTAGTCACGTGATCCCACCCCCTAGAATTTCCAACAGTCTGTGCTTATGCCCCGTTTGTGAATTTGCATTGTTTGTGTTTTTTATGAAAATGATCAATGTTCCTTTCTTCACCCTTTTTTCATATATAAAATTTCTTTTTAAAGCTAAGGATGTTCAAAATGCTTGGCAAGTTTTGACAGAAATTGCCTTACAACTTCAAAATAAATTCAAAGCATCAAATAAGAATGAGGCATTTACTAGTATCTCAGAGAGAGAGAGAGAGAGAGAGAGAGAGAATTATCATACAGTGAACCTTAAATTATGATACTGACAAATTATATTATTGAACATTAAAAGTAGACAAGTTGCAGGTTCCGACTCCAGTTTGAAACATATTGGAAATGGATAAATCCAAGCTGCAGATTGATAATAGACAAGTCTTTTAAAGAAAAGGGAATCGTGTATAGCATTTATTATAAAATAAGAACAGTGGATTACCTTCTGCTACAAACCCTAATGATAATACATGGTGTCCTTTGAACAGCTTGTAGACCTTGAATAAATATTTTTTCTAAAATCCAAATGATCAATCATAATTATTAATATATACAAGAATCATGTGTATTTTAGATTTTGTATAGCATATCAAAATAAAAAGAAATGTTACAGGAAATCAATACACTTTTAATTTAAGGTACGATTAGAATTGACCTAGACCCCAACAATATTCCAGAATTGTTAGACACTTGAACTCCAAGATTTAAATTATGTCGAGACGTCATAACTGCTAGACTTACAAAAATCCAGTTATGCTCACATGTAAATATTTATAGTTTTTAATTTTAAAAAACAATCTGCTCACGGGGTACATATATTTTATACATGCATGAATTAATGTATTTTTCTCTATTATAGATTAAACTGATATCGAACGAACTTTTGTATTTAAAACAATCTGCCTACGGTGTCCATACGTTTTATACGTGTGTTTTGATAAAGCATGAATTAATGTTTTTCTTTCTAATTGTAGATTAAATTGATATCAAACGAACTATCTATTTAATTCAAAGTTTACAAGACAGTTGTATTTAAAGGTTATAAGTAGAGACTGGAGTTTAGAAAGTGACATATTTATTAACCCCTCGAACACAACAACTTCTTATTAACCGAAAGCGAATAGGGTTCAGATACAAATTCTTCCAAATACTGTAGAATCTTTCAAGATGAAACATATGGAGATAACGAATAGTATTCAAGATGAAAAGTCCATAAAACAATACAAGATAGGAGCAGAGCAACATCAGAGGTGGGATCAGGTGCCATGGAGGAGTGAGCAGCCCCTGCCTACCGGTCACACGCCGTGTGCTCCTTGTCATGATCGGAAATAACGGAAAAAATCCGTCGTCAATTCACTCAGTGTATAAATAACGGACTAACACTATGTATGAAAAGCAATTTAAATGTTTAATTTTCAGGACGTAAATATATGCAAAATTTTGCAAATATAGGATTTGTTGTTATCGTGTACTAGATACCGGTATTGTCTTGTGTTAAACTGGTTGTCAATCTCGGTAACTGTTATTGAACTGTATACCAGTGGTATAAGATCTAGTGTAGGCGCAGGTTTTTGCAGTAATAACTGTAGTGAGTGTACGAGTATTTGTAATTTATTGTACGTGCTCATATTAAATGCCAATATCGCAATAGATTTTTTTAGGGTCAGTGACCGTAATATCGTGTAATATCGCACTGAAGTGTGTAATTTGTTATTTGTAATTTGTTATCAGCAAAATTTAATGTAATTTCTTGTCTTTTAATGTAAGTAATCATCTGTTCAGTATCTTGCCAGTAAATGTAATTATCTGTTGGCAATGCTTGTAAATGATTGCCATCATCGTCAGTAATTCAATGTACAAACTGTTGCCAGAATCTTTTTGTTTGTTTTAATTGTTAGTAACTGTAATTTGTAATTGATTGTCATGTATTATCGCTTGTCAGAACTCTGTACTGTATTCATGTACGTGCTACTAGGATGAATATATACAGGGGCGTTCTTTCACTCCTTGTAGGAAAATATAAATTAGATCCATTTTTCCAGGGAGAAAATATGGGCCAACACTGGTACGTACATGGTATTAATTTTATTTTTTGATGGGGAGAGGTGTTTAAACCAGTGCATATCCATTTATTATGTTACATAATCAGAAAAATTTAACTCATGCAGAGAGTGATAATTTAATTCATATTTATATGACACTTAAAAATGACCGGAATTATACACAGGAAAGTCAGCTGACTGATATAAACACTTCTGAACACGATCACACAATTCAGCTACTGTATAGTTAGAGGTGAACTCTACTTATTTTTAACACATTACACTTTTGATCGATTTATGTTTTTTAAAATGAATTTTTGGAGTTTTGATTGTTTGTTTGTCGTTTTGCTTCTTGTTTCTGAGTTTGATGAAAGAGAGAAATTTCAAGTACATCTTAATACGTATCAAGCGAAGGAGATTGACTCTTGGTCAGAGAAGGGGGGGGGGGGGTGAGATGGATATTGAATGAAATATGGAGAAAAGGAACAGTATTCCAGCTCAACATTCGTGGAAGGAACACAAATCTACAGACCTCTAAAAAAAAACATCAGAGGTCTCGTAATAGAGAGTTACGTGGAAAAATCCTTGTCTTTTTACTTGATTTAAACCGTTTAAGACAGCCTAGTGACAGGCCGGGGTTCACTCTTGATCGGGTGGTCCTGCAGTCACCTACCTATGGCGACGTCTCCGTAAGAGAGAAGAATTCTCCAACAGGACGTAAAACAACACACAATCAATTCATTCATGGGTAATGGAAAAATTCAAAATATTACATGATTGGCATTTACATGAGTAATACGTCTGACAAATATAATATAACAAAGTTCTTGTATGCAAAACAAGTAAACCTAGTGTATTTAATGCCACAAGACTTTGAGGTATTCTTTTCTCTTAAAAAGAAGCCCTAAAAGTAATCTCTCTCAGTGAAGAAATTTCTCATAATCATAAGTCTGTTTTTAATATTTTTAAAATCTCCAAATTCCCAAGTGTAAATTGAATATGATTTACTATGCGTAAATTCAAAAACTTCATAAAAATTTACAATCAAAGCACAGGCGCTTGTGAATCAAAGATACATAGCTGAATCTGGCATGTGTTCTATCAAGCTTCTTACAGATGTTTTATCAGGAGTACATGAGAAACCTTTTTTTATGTGAACAATATTTTCGGGAAACGGTTTCATTAAAATGTGAATGCTAAATAACTTCAAAGAAAGAAGAAAATTTTAAATTAAAAATATGTTGCCAAAATTAGACATTCAAAATGTACGATTTTTGAATATTTTATACAATAAATCCTTACACAGCCAATTGTGCCTAACGTTAATTTAGTGTTAATCTCAATTAACATTAAATTAATGTTAGCTTGATGTTAGTTTAATGTTACTTTCGTGTTAAGTTAACGTTAAAAATATTAACATTAATTTAACGTTAATTTTTAACGTTAATTTAACTTAACATTAAATTCATGTTAATTTTTAACGTTAATTTAACTTAACATTAATTTCATGTTAATTTTTAACGTTAAATTAACATTAAAATTTTAAGTGAGCTTGGGTTCTGTCTTAAAAAAATAGAACCAAAATATTAACATTAGATTAACGTTAATTAGTTAATGTTAATTTCATGTTAATGTGAATTTAACGTTAATTCTTTAATGTTTATTTCATGTTAATTAGAGTAACACGAGATCGATTAATGTTATTATTCAAATTTTAGACCTAACTTTAAGCAATACTTGCCAATCATTTTAGTGACATTTAATTAATTAGTTAAGATGTCCACATATGGATACTCGAAACCGCCGCCCGGAGTTGGGGGTTGGTGGTGGTGGGGGGGGGGGGGGGTATTGGCAATTGTGTCGGAAATAAATTTTTAACCCCAATATATAAAGATAACAGTTGTGTTAATATTATACCATAGGTTCAAAAGGTATTTCCGACACAATTTATTTCCGACACAAGTGCCTGTGTGTGTGTAAGGGTGTGTACACGTGTGGGTTTGGGAAAGGGAGGTGCTCTAACTGTTAGCACCCTCTTCACCTCGTCCATTTTTTCATACATTCTTAAAAAAGTAATTTATCTAGACAATTATAAGCTCTATGTCTATCTTTCAAAATGTCAACTTGGATTTGGATTTTTTCCGGCTAAAAATGGTCCGTAGCTTTTCTCAGGATCGGTTTTGTTTTTATCGGACGAAACTGTACGTCATGTTTGACGTCACCAGCTGTAACAGAAATTGAAAACACAGAGGAAAAAGGATTTATCAAGTCTCTGTTAAAAGTAAGTATTTTGTAGTCTTTGTTATATTACGTTTTTGAGAGTTTCATAATTTCAGAGGTCCCTAAATGTTTGAACTTTATGTACAGCAACATAACGCATAATTACTCAACAGTCCTTGCAGGCTATTGTGTCGTAGGCTGTGAACGACGTGCCAGATCTCTCCTGTGTTGGATATTTGTATATCAGCATTACTATTTTTATTAGGTCTATTTATTGTTCAGTTGGTTAAATTTGTTTGAACACTGAAGCCTGCCGGTACATCTGTACTGCCACCCTACGTACGATACGGAGAAAATTCGAAAGTGAAAGTAGAAATCTTGTACAATTGAACAATAACCATCTCCGATCTCGAAGTTGAAGTTAAACACACAATGTGAGCGATGTTTTCCCTGATTCTAACAGTTCATCTTAATTGGTTTCACCATTATCGAGAAAAAAAACCCGATTTGATATTTTTTTTTATTGTATTTTAAACAGCTGGAACTCGGTATCACATCTGACTTGCACTTCTGAAACACTGTGAAATGGATCAAATCGGACTTTGTCGTCGAGACTCGGAAGAACCCAGCTGTCTAAATTATTATGCCATTGGAACACAAAACAGGTATTGAAAGTGGAACAAAATGTAAACAATTCCCACAGTAAATGTAATGACAGTGAAATTTACATTCACACACCCCAACTGATTTTTTAAAATTCCAGTTGAGTTAAGTACTTGTCACTGCTTGACACTTGTCAATATTTTGTTCAGAAACATTTTAATAAGCATTAAGATTTTTTCTTTTACTGCATAATACAGAAAAGATACTTGTATGCAAGGCATGGAGAATAGAGCAGACTACAGCCTCTATATACCATTCCTTGGTGCCTCCTTGAATTGATGTTTTTCAGGATAACCATACAGGAACAAAGGTTATTTATGAAATAGTATATACATAGTTTATTCATAATTTTCATTTAGAAAAATTTTACAACTTGATCTAGAGTTTATGCTAAAGAGACAAATTTAAAGCCAAGTTGCTTTCACTGTACTAAAAGTTTGCTTTGAATCAGACGCTGCACATAAAATTTGATTTCTATCTATGAATATCATATATGTTGAAGATATTACATTTCAAATAAATGATTTTTAATTATTTTTTTTTTTATAATTGTAGGTTAACTCAGTATAAAGGCTTGCTGACATAAACAGAACATGATAATCACAAGAAAGTGAATATATTTCATCACCTTAAGCAATCTTCAAAATCCAGGTAAAGTGCATTTATTCTGAACACATATCAAATATTTAGAACCATTTAATATGTCACCCCTAATTTTTTTTGAAAGTATACTGGAAACACGATGTCTGTTTGCCAGTCTCACTGTACAGTGTATAGTAAAATATATGGAAGTATATAGTTTTTAAATACTAGTAGCTTTTTAGTTCACCTGAGCCGAAAGCTCAAGTGAACTTTTCAGATCACATTTTGTTCGGCGTCTGTCTGTCCATCTGTTAACTTCTTCTCAAGAACCACTGGGCCAGGAAAGATGGAACTTAAATGGAAGCATCCTCAGATAGTGTACTTTCAGGCCTCTTCAACCCATGGGGGTAGGGGGGGGGCACAATGGACTTTCAGTCTTACTTAAGAAATAAGGTACAGTTAATTCTCGATAAACCGCCACCTTTTGTAATTTAGAAATCATGGCGGTATAACGAATTTGGCGATGAATCGAATTTCCCATCTTTTAGAAAACAAGAAGTAGAGTTACCGTTCTTAGAAATACCATTTAGCATTTCTATTCATATTATTACATCTACATGTATATAAAAACATATTTCTGATTGAAAATACTTCAAGTTATTTTTTTAATGTACAATTTCGCTAAAACAAAATGTGCAGTTATGAATTAAACACAAGTACATGTGTATGCATGTAAATCTGCACGTCTGATATTGAAAAAAAACCATGCTGGGTCGTCGTCGTGATATTTTGCCGATAGTACGTAAAATGAATTCTTGAATAAATTCATTGTTTTTTGGCATCATAGTTAATGAAACGTTCACAATTTATACCGTATAACTATTTTTTCAGCAAACTTTGCATTGTTTAAAGCAGAGATCATCAAAATAATATTGTTATCGGCATACTTTAAAAACGACCGCTTTCATGGCAAAGCTGTGGTTAAATGATGTTTATTAACTTATTAACCAGATAACAGAATTATAACTTACAGTTCATGTTAAAATTATTAAGGTCTTCCGTCTTCACGGAAGACCTTATAGTTATTCTACTGTTTCTTATTATTATTATTCTTTTTATTATTTTTTTTCCAAAATTTTGTGCACGCGATTTCTCAAAGACTACTGGGTGAAATTACATGAAATTTTCAGAAAAGATGTGTCATAACATAAACTTGATCTTTCTGAGCGATTTTTTGGAAATTCGCTTCTGGTGCCAAGTTACGGGACATTTCCTGAGTTTAAAATGACATTTTGTCTTCGATTAATCTCAAGAACGGTAAGAGATATCAATCTCAAACTTTCAGGGATTATAGATCGTGATAGATACTATCAAGGACGCGACATTTCGTTCGTCGTCAATGCTTCCTGTCGTAAGGAGATGCGAAGTTAAAAAATTGTATTTTCTAACTTTTTTTGTTTTTTTATATTTTTTATTAATGTTTAGAATATTAATAGAGACCCTTCTATTGATGCTTACTATATAAGTTGTTTGAATATTGTTTAACCAGAACTCTAGATATTAATATTTGAAAATCTGAAGCGGGCCCAAAATGGCTGCTGTCTCTGTCAACTCCGCCATTTCGCGAGTAGGGGTCTATTTGGGCAGCTGAGCGTTTGATTAAACCATTCTGACATAAGGATACATGAAATGTAAAAAACTACCTGGACTTTCACATAGTAGTACGTTGTAATTACGTGTCATTCTTAAAACTTAATTTCCGTTTCACTGCTTTAGTTTAACTGGGCTAGATACGATATGTAATGTGTACAATGTGTTAAATATACCTTCTTAACGTCGAAATAAAAGAAAGGCGATAAGAACGTTTTATTTATTTAATTTCATTGAAACTATCACACCAGCGTCTTCTCAAACGTTTTCTGTTACTAGTTTTGGTTGGTTCTCAAATAGAAAAAGAAAAGACTAAATGTGCAAAATGAGAGATACTTATTATCATTTGTTTTGCAAGACGGAAAAACAGATCTTAAATCATAGTTATAAGTTATAGTTTTTCAAGAAACAATATCGATGCATGTGTATAGTAAGTATAAAACGTATAACCACTGTTTTTCCCATGCACACTTGTAAACGAATAGAAAAGACAAAAATAAGAAAACCATTTTGACAAGATCGTCTAATGGAGTTTATATTAACATTCTTTTCTCAAAGATCTGAATCAAGTAATTAAACATAAATGGTATCTGATTCCTTGACTGTCGTAGAGCGAGGCATGTTTTTCGGCGAAACATTTCAACCTTTTTATGAATGTGAAACTAATCGGCATAGTTCACTTCTGAGACGGGCTACATACTTCTGAGACGGGCTACATAAAAAAAATAAATTACAGTCATTTCACTGCTTTTGTGTTACTTTTCTATAGAATGTGTACAATGTGTTAAATAAATTTTCTAAACCTTGAAATGTATGCTATGAGAACGTTCTTTTTTCTTAATTTCATTTAAGCTATCACACCTATTTAATAGATCAGTCCAAAGAAAAGGCGCGAAGATTTATTATTAATTATTAATTATTATTTAACGTGGCGTTTGGCGCGAAATTATGAATAATGGCCCGTCTTTTATAATTCTTAGACAGGTGTACTGTAGCAAAAGTATACTCAAGTACATAATTTAGAGCAGTATTCCCAATAGCGTAATGGTTAGCGCGTTGGGGATAAAATGGGGAAAAGCAGATTGGATTTTCACGCTGGTGACCTGGATGCAATTTGTGAACAAAATTTTTAATCACTTCTCAGCTCGACTTTACGAGTTTTTTTTTCCAGAATCGGACGGAAGACCTCTCGTTGCTCGCAACGAGATCGTTTCTAGTTGTTTATATAATTCTTGTTTAATTACTTAATTGTATGTACTTTTTCTGCCTTTGCATGCTTTACAACAGGGATAGCCGTCAACCAATTAGCCGCGCTTCACTGACCACATCCACCTGTGGCGGTATATCGAGATAATTGACACTTAAAAATGGACGTTTGTTGTGAAAATAGGATGGCGGTATGCGAATTTGGCGTTATAAAGAGAATTTTATATAGCAGGAAAAAAGTTCTTGGGAAATCATGGCGGTATTGCGAAAATGGCGATGAACCGAATGGCGATAATTCGAGAATTGACTGTATTTTTAAACATCTATCCGGATATAAATATTGGTTAGTCATGACTCACAAGATTCAATTCCATAAAGCCTGAAGGGCTTTATAATGAATTTAATCTTGTACCAACCCGTATTTATAGCCCGTTGGATGTTTTGAAATGATACCTTATTACTTATATTTACATTTGCGACTTATTCATACTTTATATTTGCATGATCACGCTGTTTGTGGCTTTAAACATGCAAAATGCATTATTTTTCAAAACTAATGGCATGTAAACAGTATACAAGACACTGAATGCGTGTCGACCCTTTATGACGTCACTGAGAAATTCCGTTGAACATTTATCGATACGCACATCTATGACCTCTTGACCCCTGTAGTGTAGATTCAAATTTGATCCCAAGTTTTACATAGGAATGCATAGGAAAAATTTTTCTAAAATCTTCTCCGAACTTATTTGGAATCATCCTCAGGTAGTGTAGATTCAAGTTTGATCAAATCATGACCCCCGTGGGTAGGATAGGGCCACAATGGCTGACCAAAATTTTACATAGGAATGCATAGGAAAAACCTTTTGAAAATCTTCTTCAGAATCATTAGGACAGGAATGATTAATCTCATGACGTGATGTGGAAGCATCCATAGGTTCTAAATGTAGATTCAATTTGTTCAAATCATGACCCCCGGGTTAGGGTGTGGCCACAATGAGGGATCACAGACTTGCATAAGAATACATAGGAAAAAGAATCTTCTCCGAATTAACATGATCTGCAAGTAGTAAAAATTTAAATAATGCCCCGGGGATTGGGGGTTAGCGAGGGGTCACAATGGGAGATCAGGTAACGTGTTGGAAAAATCTTTAAAAATCTTCTTTTCAAGTATGGCAAAATAATATACATGTATGTATGCTGTATTGTAATAGTGACATTTTCAAGTACCGGTAATAGAAAATTCAAATCCCCCTCCCCCAATAAGTATAAAGTAAGCTTCTCAATACTTAATCGATCTGTGTTTTTTAGCTAGCCCATGTGCTCAGGTGAAGGATGTGGCCAATGGACCCCTTGTTTCATTCATTATATTTGAGGCAAATTTGAGTTGTTAATGTATTGCTGAAGTATTTTATTTTCATATAATTATTATAATATATGTATTTGCCTCTCTTCTTTTTCAGATTGGAAAAAGAGAGAAGATTTGTAGCATTGTATTGAATATGCCTGATTAAAAGTATTAATGGATGAATTGGTGTTTTTCTCTTTTCTTCAGAAAATTTGAAATCGGAGGCAATGCTCAGAATTTTAGAGATTTTGTTGAAAAAGCAGATGGGTCCTTTTATCCTTTTGGATATATTCAAATTTAAAAGAAAGTGACACCAGGGATGAAGTCAACATGCAAGCCTAGCTTTCTGCAGTGCTACAAGGAGAAGTGCAAAATTGATGAGCTTCTGGTGTACTTTTAGAGAAATAATTATGATTACATGTAGTATCAGTTAAGCTTCTGTTAGGAAGCAATAACATATATTTTTTAGGAAGAATAGGAAAGAAAATTCCAAAAATATGCACACAATTTTTCTGCATTTTAACGTTAAATAAGTGTGAACTAATTAACGTTAATTTAACGCTTAACGTTAATTTAACATGAAAATAACGTTAACTTAACGTTAAATTTTTAACGTTAAATTCATGTATAAGCTCGATTGACGTTAATTTAACGTTAAATATTTAACGTTAAGTTAACGTTATTTTCATGTTAAATTAACGTTAGGCACAATTGGCTGTGTATAAAACTTAAAAATTAATTTACAAAAAAAAATTAAATTTGACGTCAAAGATAAGGGATTCATCAATAAAATTAGAATATATATTTGATAGGCTAGATTCACAAAATATCACTTTCATTTCATAGACACCTCGAGTCTGATATAAATATTTTGAACATTAGGAATGCCTCATCCCTTGTGAGAACTGACAAATAATTTTTTCCTTCTTCCTCTCCAATAGATTGAATAATTATATCTTTGTGGCAAACCCAGGGAGACAACAAAATAGCATGCATTATATTGGCATTGATTATTTTCCTTTTTTATTTGGATTTTCCATAGGTGCATTATATCTTATATTGTCCATCGTGTAATGTCTGCCCTTCCTATAGTGTCCACTACACACTA